TGTTACAATACATATAAATACTAACATGTAGTTTTTATCAGAAAATTTAATGACACATTTTATAATTGTATTTTGTTTTAGAAGTTATTACGGAATCGAAAACTTGGATGGGTATATTATATTTTTGTATAAAATTTTTTATTGCTTACTTATCCTTAAACTTGTGGGTTTTACATATTCTGTATAAATTCACATTATAATCATTTCATTAAAAATCGCAATTAATACTCAATAAGTATGAAATAATTATGTTCCCGGAAACTTGATGTGTATAATGATTTTATACATAAAAATCCATGAATTTGAATGACGACCTTACTATTCTGAAAGCGTATGGTTATGACAACCACCATTATAATACATATCCAGTAATGATATGCGTCGTCGTATGTCGAGGTCTTTATCTCTCTGTTATCTCCAATCATACAGAACTATCATCTACAATAGTTATATTTTAATATACATATTATATTTATTATACATTCACAAATTTAAATATGATTGTACTCATGTAAAATTTAATTATAACATGTTCCATCATTCATAATCTTGTTACTTTCTCCGTCAACAACTACTGTAAAAATTTTTCAAAAATTAATCTGAATCAATCATTAAATCGTTCTATAAAAATCTAAAACAAACATAAAATTTTATACAGAACATTTAATGACACATTTTATAATTGTATTTTGTTTTAGAAGTTATCACAGAATCGAAAACTTGGATGGGTAAATTATATTTTTGTATAACATTTTTTATTGCCTACTTATCCTTAAACTTGTGGGTTTTACGCATTCTGTATCAAGTCACAATATAATTATTACAGTATAATTCGCAATTTATATTCGATATGTATGAAAAATTTATTTTCCTGGAAATTTGATGTGTATAATGATTTTATACATAAAAATCCACGAATTTGAATGACGACCTTACTATTCTGAAAGCGTGTGGTTATGATAACCGCTGTTATAATACATAACCAGTAATGATATGCGTCGTCGTCTGTCGAGGTCATTATTTCTCTGTTATCTCCAATCATACAGAACTATCATCTACAATAGTTATATTTAGTTATATTTTAATATACATATTGTATATTTATTATACATTCACAAAGGTAAATATGATTGTACTCATGTAAAATATAATTATAACATGTTTCATCATTCATAATCTTGTTATTTTCTCCGTCAACAACTACTGTAAAAAACCGTTCAAAAATTGATCTGAATCAAACATTAAATCGTTCTCTAAAAATCTAAAACAAACATGAAATTTTATACAGAACATTTAATGACACATTTTATAATTGTGTTTTGTTATAACAGATACCAGTAAATTGAACGCTCCAAAAGGTACCTAAATTATATTTTTGTATAACATTTTTTATTGTTTATGTATCCTTAAACTTGAAGATTTTACATTTTCTGTATAAAGTCACATTAAAATCATTTCATTAAAAATCGCAATTAATACTCGATAAGTATAAAATAATTATATTCCCGGAAATTTGATGTGTATAATGATTTTATACATAAAAATCCACGAATTTGAATGACGACCTTACTATTCTGAAAGCGTGTGGTTATGACAACTGCCGTTATAATACATATCCATTAATGATATGCGTCGTCGTCTGTCGAGGTCATTATCTCTCTGTTATCTCCAATCATACAAAACTATCATCTACAATAGTTATATTTTAATATACTTATTGTATATTTATTATACATTCACAAATGTAAATATGATTGTACTCGTGAAAATTTAATTATAACATGTTCCATCTTTCATAATCTTGTTCCTTTCTCTGTCAACAACTACTGTAAAAACTGTTCAAAAATTGATCTGAATCAAACATTAATTCGTACTATAAAAATATAAAACAAACATGAAAATTTATACGGAATATTTAATGATACATTTTATAATTGTATTTTGTTTTAGAAGATACCAAGGAATCGATAAATTTTATGGAGAATTTTTATTTTTGTATAACATTTTTTATTAATTACTTATCCTTAAACTTGTGGGTTTTACGTATTCTGTATCAAGTCACATTATAATTATTACAGTAAAAGTTACAATTTATACTCGATATGTATGAAATATTTATTTTCCCGGAAATTTGATGTGTATAATGATTTTATACATAAAAATCCACGAATTTGAATGACGACCTTATTACTATTCTGAAAGCGTATGATTATGACAACCGCCGTTATAATACATATCCAGTAATGATATGCGTCGTCGTATGTCGAGGTCTTTATCTCTCTGTTATCTCCAATCATACAGAACTATCATCTACAATAGTTATATTTTAATATACATATTGTATATTTATTATATATTCACAAATGTAAATATGATCGTACTCGTGTAAAATTTAATTATAACATGTTCCATCATTCGTAATTTTGTTCCTTTCCCCGTCAAAACTACAATAAAAACTATTCAAAAATTGATCAGAATTAAACATTTAATCGTTCTATAAAAATCTAAAACAGAACGAATGCCCACATTAAATGCACTTTTGTTACAATACATATAAATACAATCATGTAGTTTTTATCCGAACATGTAATGACATATTTTATAATTGTGTTTTGTTATAACAGATAACAATAACTCGAACGCTCCAAAAGGTATCTAAATTATATTTTTGTTTAACATTTTTTATTGCTTACGTATCCTTAAACTTGTGGATTTTACATATTCTGTATAAATTCACATTAAAATCATTTCATTAAATATCGCAATTAATACTCGATAAGTATAAAATAATTATATTCCCGAAAATTTGATGTGTATAATGATTTTATACATAAAAATCCACGAATTTGAATAACGACCTTACTATTCTGAAAGCGTGTGGTTATGACAACCGCCGTTATAATACATATCCAGTAATGATATGCGTCGTCGTCTGTCGAGGTCATTATCTCTCTGTTATCTCCAATCATACAGAACTTTCATCTACAATAGTTATATAATATAGGTACATTTTAATACTATATATAAATGTAAATATGATTGTACTTGTGTAAAACTTAATTATAACGTGTTCCATCGTTCTTAATCTTGTTACTTTCCCCGTTAATAACTACCTTGAAAACATTTTGTTTATATATTGATATGTATATATATATATATATGAACATAAATGCAGTTATCATAATATAAAATATTAAAATTAATAATCCTAAAGAATGAATAATTATTGTTTAAATAGTTTATTAAACTGAATTTTCTAATATATAGGAGGTATATATTTTTTTTTAGACGAAGCAGCGATATACTTCCGGTATCTTATGAGTGTTATTAAAGCTGAAGCATCTAGTACGTATTTTATTATACACTTATTATAATTTATATTTTTTTTAATAGTAATTAGTTAGATTATAAAATAGCAATACTGTGCGTGTGTTGTGTTGATACCTAATCTTAAACAGTGTAATTTATCGAAAATGGGCTCACAACGGTTAGCTCTAGATATTCAATAAATAAATAACCTGTCATAAAAAATAAAAATTGATACTTAACTTAATATTAAATTAGTGGATGGTAAAAAACTTCTATTCCATCTTTTTTTGTTGGGTTAGAATCATGTATGATAATAAATGGTAATATTACTTATCGTATTCCAGTAAAAACAACATAATATCATATTATTGATAATAGTCCACAGACCTGTGGTACAATTGTTGGATTTGACAAATTGTGCAAACAGGCGATCTGAATCGTGTGATAAATATGAGGTTGGAAGAAGTTAAAATAAATATAACACCGTTAGTTTAGTGGTATTTCGAGTTGGTAATATTTTTGTTCGAAAGAAATAAATGTTAGGGTTAAAACAGTATATAAACATAAAGTATACAATAAAATACAGTGTGATGCGATGCTGTGCGTATACAAGAAAGAAGCACGGAGTGGCACGCGGTACGTCGTTTAAAGGTCGACAGTACTGTGTGGTTAGCGACGATGTGTAACGTGTGTGGTTTTGTTATTTGAAGGTATTTGAGCGAACGCATAAAAACTCGAATGGACAAGACCGTTTCGGCCTGTGGCGTCGTTTATACCGTTGGCGTGTCATACATTTGAGGAGGAGAGTGCGGTGTATACAAAATACATCACGGTAGAAAACATAATTGATACATTAAACTTGACAAACATTTGCAATAAGTACAAATAATACAATATTAAAAATATATTGGTGATAATGCGGTTTAAGCTCCACATTATTAAACACCTAAGCAAAAAAAAAAAACAATCGTACATCATTTTCATTCGTTATTGCGCGCATAGGAATGGTCGACGATTGAGTCTTCGCTCGAGTCGATCGATGACATTCAGAGTATTCAGACTGTCTTAATAGCATTGATTCTAATAAAGACGTGACTAATCCGGTTTATGTAGGTACTACAATACGTTTCACGAAACTAGCGACTCCGCAGTGGCGCACCCAGTGGCGAAATTTCCGTGTTCTGCGGTTTCTCAAACTTGCACACAATACGCGGCAATTTGAAATATTGCACGATTTTTGAAAAATATGAATAAAAATAGTCACACGTTTAGAAACCCTTACGAAAATCTGCCACCGGAAGCGCCACACAGGCACGTAGCTAAGGGGGGGCCAGGGTGTGCCTGGCCCACCCTATTATATGTCTGGCCTTAGGCCGGCCCACCCAAAGTATTCAGAAGGGCCCATTATTATACAGTGACTTAATTTTTACCAAATTTTTATCTAAATATGATTACAGCCAAATATATCGGGTTTTAATTAGAATGTAATATACTTATAAGTAATGTAACTAAATTCAATCTCTTTCTGTTTCCTGGAATAAAATATTACGTATTATGTTTTTGTTATACTAATAAATTCTGTTGCTACCAAGAATTGGTGATAATTTATTTTTTATAAGCCATAATATCGTCAACGATCGATTAGGAAATAATTGCTATTTAAAGCCCAATACCGGTACCATAGTCCATATTACCCATGTCATGTTATTCTTAACTTCTAGACAGTGACTGTTGTATATTTTTATTTTTGTGTATATTTTTAAAATACTTTTGAGTGAGGGTATTGTCATTATATTAATTCATATAAAATTTTATTATGCTCGACGGTCGGTTATTAACATTTAGCGTACGCCGTACGTATGCCAATATCGTAATATTTAAAATATTTATCTGAATTTTAAAATGGCTCCTCTAAGTGGATGTGCAAAAAGAAAATTAAAACTACGAAGAGAAGAGCAAACAAAAAAATTAGCTGGATCAAGTCTTAATTGTCATATTAAATAGTACAATGTTAACACTATCGTTTACTCATCTATTCTGAGAAGTCCAGGACGTGTGATCAAGTCTTAATCATTATATTAAATATCACGATGTGCAGGTGTTCGCCCTATCCGTTGGTGCTACACTGTTTGAATATATTATCCCATCGGTATACGCGTCACCTCTCCGTATAATATATGTGTTAAAATAACACGATACGTAACAGTAATAATTCTAAAAAGGCTTATATATATATATATATATATATATATATATATATATATATATATAGCCTTATATATATTTATATAAGGTATGATATGTTACCCTTTTTCTTCCTTCTGACAATGTTTTCTCTATTGACGTCTTGAAGGTAACCAGTATGCGTTTAAGAAATTACAACATTTATTCAACTTGATTAAACTCATTAACTTTATTATAAAACTTTTAATACACGATATATATTTAATTTATACAGTTAACAATCTTCAATGCTTATGTCTCTTTGTATATACGATCTGCATAGTCTTTTACTCTCGCATGTGATCATCTGTACAAAGAGACATAAGGACACTGTGTGTGACCGGCGATGACCGGCCTTTTTATGATTAATATACTATGTGTGTGTGTGTGTTTTATCTATTGTGCTTATGATCCGACTATAGGTCATTTTATTATATTGTAATTAAATATTTAATTTTTATCTTACATGATTATATTAATAAATGACTTATAGCTAAAGGTCATAATTATTTATTTTATTATATAAATATTTAATTATGATTGCTTGCGGAAGCACATTATTACAGTTCCATACTCAAAATCGTCCTTTAAAGTACTTAATAATTTTTGGTTATAACTTTTAAGCCATCTAACCAATCTACTTCCGAGTTCCTCTGTTCCCATCTGCACAATATTTCTGATCTAAATCGATCTTATTCGATTTATGGCCCTTTTCCCTGTAGTAGCTGGCCGAATGATTAACAAAAATTAGAACGGTATTTCAATGTAACAACTCAGTTTCCTATTATTATACGTTAGTGGCTACTACATTATTTGTTTTTATTTTTACTTAGCTTCGCGCCTCTATCGTCGCACTGGATAATATAAATTAAAAAAATTTGCCAGGAGTCGTGTCTACAGCGAATAAGCAAACTTAAGACCAGACACCCATATCTATATAGTAACCGCCGCTGTCACTCGAACGTAGTTTACTGCAATGCTTCTTTAACGACGAATGCACAATGTCAAGTACAACGTCGTAGCATAGGAAGGGTAGAGGTTTGAGTTTTAATTATTAATAACGAAATATTAATATTTACTTTAACAATTTATTAAATATAAAATAACTTTAAAATATAAATCTTTTTAGAAGTGTTTACGACTTAGTATTGAAATACTAAACCGGAGAGAATATGTGTGTGGAACGTTTCCCTAGAGGCTCTTGGTAGCATGGGTGAAACGTTTGTGTATGAACTACTCTCTAGAGCTCCCTGTGAAGAGGGCTCTTATTTATATGAGACATGCCGTAGATTAGGAAAGGATGATTGACGTCATGGAAATGGCGTGATGTTTTTAATCCAATCAGGTAAAAGCATCAGTGGTCCGATTCGGTGGCGTGATATAGTTTAGGCCACTGGACTTTAGACCTACGTTTTTATACTAAAAACGTCGGTTTACTACATCTATCATCAGCTAAACTTTTTTCATGTAGTAAAACTTTATGATCTAAGACTAAGCCAACTATTCTTTTGTACCATATTGAAGTGGAGTTTGCGTGTATATGTAAATGGGTGCAATTAGTTTGTCGCTATTCCGACGAGATGTGGAAATCACACGTCAGATCAAAAATGTGACATAATACAGATGTCTTTAGACGAACTGTACACAATCTCCTTATGCATTGACTTGAAGCCTTGAAGTAAAATAATTGTGGGTTAAATACAAAAAAGTTGTAATAGTCAATACCACTAGTAAAAAACGTTCTGATAAGATTCCTTTAGTTTCTAAATGTGCCTAGAAATTGACTAATATTTCTGAAATAGATTCTCTGCTAGATTTTAATCGAATGGTAAACCTCGACAAATGATCAGTTTTTTATATTATTATATACTAAATCTAAAATTACTTTTATTCTAGTGTACGAACTCAAATTTAATCCTATACGATCTTAGCCCTTTATCTATAATAAAAATACGATTTTATTAGATGAGATTGGTTCTTATTAATAATAACCATGTTTTATGTTTTATCATAAGTTTTAAGTAGTTTTTTGTTCATTTATTTAATATTTTTTCATATTATGTGACATTATTTATTAATTCAAAGGACGAATTTTTAACGAATTTGTACCTACATAAATTTAATTATTTATACATTTTAAATGAACCTATTTAACATTCTACAAAACATAAAAAAAAAATTAATTTATAATAAAGGTATTTATTTTTGTTTTTAGCATATGCTTCCTTCCTTCCTAAAAATTGGTGTGAATATAACATACCTATAATAATGAATCAATTGGAATTAAAGACGCCTACTGTTGAAAGTAACAAAACTATTGAAAGTTAACCATTAGATAATAAAAATATGTTAAATTGATTTAATGAACATAGTTATGTCATGATTAGTTAATCATCTGATATGTTGAAATAATTAATATACTAACTTAACTGAACCAATTAAATTGTAATTTAAGTATTTACTTTTAGGATCCAAGAGCTTGTCAATTATAAATTATTTATCTAATTTTTGTGTTTATTTTTTTTTATTGGAGAGACGGGTTATGTAAAATAGGTACCCCGACAAAATATCGCCGGTAAAATATCGCGTGACCAAAATATCGCAACTAAAATATCGCGAAACCATTATATCGTAAAGAAATAATACTGCCGTACATTATTATCGCGTCTGTATATTGAATTTGACTTAATCTTATCTAATCGTATTCACCTTTTAGCTAGCAATGCATTCAAGTATACTGGTTTTTCATTTTATAATTTCTATTTAGTAACACTTTGTACTGTCGTCTGTCACTGTGACACTGTTTTATACAGTACTTTTATACAGTTTTACAGAGTTTTTTTTTTTATTTATTTTAATTTTAAATGGAGTTAAATTTTTTAAAAACTGCAAAAGGCAAAAATTTATTAGTTCATAACGGATATACTTATACAAAAGAAAAAGATGGTGCTGATTCCAAGGTAAGATAAATAATATTACTGTTTATGACATTCTATGCTCATATCTATAATAGTGGGCGCGCGGAATAACACAGCCGCCGTAATTAGTCGTCCGTCGTTTTCGAGCCGTGGTGGTCCGTGTTAGAATAATCTGTGTTGCCCGTTAATTATTAATAAAGACCGAATTTATATGCAATATTTATTATTTTCAGAATATTTGGAAGTGCAGTCAATATGCCAGTAAAAAATGCCGTGGAAGGTGTCATACACAATCAAATAACGTTGTATGGGACTCTGACAATCACACTCATTTACCAGAGGCATCCAGATTGGCTGCAATCCAATTTATCTCAGAAATAAAAGAAAATGCAACAACTTCTACTAGTACTTCAGCGTCGGTTTTAGCTTCAGCTTCAAAAGAATTACCTCGTGAAATAATTTCTTATATTCCAAAAATTGACTCCCTAAAAAGAACAATTCAGCGAGTACGGAAGAAGGAATTTCCAACTTTACGCCCTAATTGTGTGGAAGAACTAACAATTCCTGATATATATCAAATAACAGATAAAAAAGAAAAATTTTTATATTTTGACTCTGGAAGTGAAAACATACGTGTTTTAGTATTTTGTACTGAGGATAATTTGAAAATATTAAAAAAATGTTCACAATGGTATGCGGATGGAACATTTAAATCTGCTCCGCCACTTTTTAATCAGTTTTTTGTAATTCACGGAAAATTAAATGACGGATCAATATTTCCATTGATATACAGTATAATGACTCACAGAACAGAACAAGCTTACGATCTTTTGTTTAATTTTCTAGCTGATGAACTTGGAGAGTTCGAACCAGAGTCTATCATGACAGATTTCGAAATGGCTTCTAGAAAATCATACAGTAAGTGTTTTCCAACTACTAAACAACGGGGTTGCTACTTTCATCTAATGAAAGCTATTTGGAAAAAAATACAAACAATTCCAGAAATGCAAAAGTTGTACAAGGAAAATATAATTTTCTCTTCGAAAATTCGTTATTTTGCTTCTCTGGCTTTTATACCACCATCAGATGTTTGTAATGCTTATGAAAAAATATTAAAATTAGATTTTTTTGTTAAAAATAATCAAATTATTTTTCCTTTCCTAACATACTTTGAGGAGACTTGGATTGGTACTAAAAAACGAGGGCGAAGATATCCTCCGTTATTTCCTATATCTCTATGGAATGTTTATGAGGCAATACAAAGTGACTGGGATAAAACAAACAACATTTGTGAAGGATTTAACAACGGATTTGCTCATTTACTTTCTGCTCAACATCCTTCAATCTATAAATTTATAAATGGTTTGAGACGTCAACAAAACCTAACGGAAATTAAAATAAGTCAAAGTATAGTAGGAAATCCAAATACGCCAAATAAAAAGAACAAGACAGTCAGTTGGGCTGAACGAGTAAAAAAAATAGTAGCAGATTATGATAATCGAGAGTTTGAAGATTATCTTCAAGGTATTTCATTGAATATATACTTCCATTAATTAATATACATACTTAATTTTTTTTTTAATACTTACATCAATTTTATTAAATTATATTATACATATTTTTATCAATTTTATCAATTCTACTAATATTAATATAACAATATTATATGCTTGAAATATATTATTTATTTATAATGAAATTACTGCTATATTTCATGCTGGCGGTATATATACTGGCGATATTTATTCCATGCGATATAATGGTTTCGCGATATTTTACCGGCGATATTTTGTCGGTGATTCCTAAGAAACCATATAAAGGCAAATATGTTACGTTTTAGATATGCCATAACTAAGGCAATTGAATATCGTAATAGTTTACAGGGGCAATCAGATTATGAAAAAGAAGTTGGTAAGTTGAGCGAAAAATACAATTTTTTTTTGGTATAATTTTGTTTTTTATATAATTGTTCTATTGAATTTAATTGTATTATTTTGTATGTTATATAACTATTAAAGGATTACGGAAAGATATAAATAATAGTTTTCGTCACATTTTGGGTAGTCATGATTAATGTGAGGAATATTTTTGCAAACCCGCTAACCGCAATTTACTAAATGAAAAAAATATGATTAAATCTGCCGAGGAATCAGGGTTCTTGAGCGATATATCTTAAATAATATCTCGTCTGGTCACAAATGTTGATAGCTTACTCATGAATTTCGATAATAACGTGTGTGAACAATTTAATAGTGTAATTAATAAATATTTAGCGGGTAAACGTATAAATTATTCACAAAGAAATGCATACAATTCAGTTGAAGCTGCAGTAATATCGTACAATTCAAATAGACAATTTCTTCGGTTATTACACAAAAATATTGTAAATGTTTTTCGTTTTGTTTTCTGGTGCATAAATAAACAACGAAGACGGTTTTCCAACTTGCGAACTGGCAACGTACAGCTGCCCGTGCGAAAAACATGGAAATTCCAAATTGATCCCACAGACTTCCAACGATTGGCCTTGTGATTTATTGATTGTCATCGCAAAAGCCAATCTAACGGGAAACTGAATCCGTAGGATAAGGACTTCCTCCCCTTTGAAATTGCCCTTGATGATCGTTGATTGTCTTACATTGTTCATCAGTTTCTTGACGGACAATCGTGTACCATTACACAATTTAGGAGGATTTAGATTCCGCAACATAATTATGATCGATCTCATTTTTACCTGTAAATTATGCGGTGGAGTTCCTGGCACATCAAGCGAGTTCAAAAATTCTGTCGGATAGTTGACCGCTTCGTTTTCGTTGGTCGTGCTGTGAACACTTTTGTAATGAGTTCTTCCTTCGACGATTAGAACTCACAAAAATTTGCCGGAAACGATATTTATCCAGTCAATACATCAATCGGAATGTGTCCATTACCAAGCGCCAGCAGTTGTCTCGAGAATTCAGCAGACAGCCGATGGGAATTCGCTTTGCAACGCAACTTATGTTCGTGGTCAATTTCACTTGCTTGCGACCACAAAACGACGATTTCTTAGGCATGCATTAATTTCATCGGCAGCAGAGTTGCAGATGACGGGAAGCGTGTTGGCGAAAATCATCGAGCAATATCATGCCCCACCAATCGTCTCAATTACTCGTACAATCTTTCATCGTTCGGTAACTCCATCAAAGCTAGTAATTGTGCCATCGTGCATTCTCATCCCAAATGATGATTTTGTATTCGCATCACTTGTGTCGCTGATCTGTCAGTATTGCACAGTGCTTGTCATGACCCATGTGAAGAGGTCTGGCAGACTCAAAGCTGAATGCTGCAGTTCGAGACCTTCTAACAATGTGGGCAGCAATGCCGGAGATGACGACAACCAATGACAATTTGTGATCTTGACCGAATTGCTGGTGAATCAACGAATACAGAACGTTTGCCTGTCCTCCGGAGCCGAAGAAAGAAGCACTCCTGTTCCATCATCATAATCAACCTTCATCAGCGAGTTCGTATACATTCTTCTGCTCGGCATTCAACAGCGCGCACATTTTTCCGACTTTTCCCTTACTCATCTAGGATCATAGATTTTTCTCCCGCTGTAATTCAGATTGAATGCAGCTGCCTCGAGCTGATTAGACGCTGGCATTCCAAGCTGACAATCAGACTGCCGCACATGAGTCACGCATGTCTTCCGATCCAGAATAATGCTTCATTGCGCATCTCGTCGTTACTTTCAATATCAAAATTCGTTGTGTTCGTCTGCATGATATTTGTGTTAATATTTATATTTTTGCTCTGCTGAGGCGCCACCGGCGCCTAACTCAGTTTTTGTCTCTAAATCTTTAACTCAGGAGTAGGTCTATAATTTGCTCTTTCATAAACGCTCCCAAAACGTCTATCGACAAAAATTTGACCAAATCAAGCCCAGTTTCTCAACTATTGTTCAATTTTGTCTCCATTTTGCTCATATATATAGAAAATATAAATGTCTTCAGGAAGTAACCTTAACGTCAAATGAAAGTAAAATTATGAAAAATACCATTTAAGAGCATCTAACTTTTATTTTTATTTTTATTGGCAATTAACTTTGTTTAAGCCTATCGCGTTTATTAATGTATCTTTAGAACTTTTCAACATTTTTG